AAAAAAAAAAAAAGTTGCATGAAGACTTTTATTTATTTATTTATTTATTTTTCTGCTTCTGATGTCTGGCTGCATTATGATGTGGCTTAAAAGGTTCTATTGAATTATGTTCAACGGTGATTCTGAACACAGCATTGCTCACCCAGGAGTGAAGCCATAGTCCAAGCCTGAGGACTTAAAGATGCTAAAGCTTTGTCTCTGTGTTTGTCTGAAGAGAGGGAGGGAAACACTAACCAGGGAGGAGCTCTGCTTCTCCAGCTTCCTGCTCTTCACCCCCTCAGTTGACGAGCCTTCTCTGTTGCTACATTTTTCCCTTTCTAGGAACAAAACAAAAAGAACCTACCAGAATTGTCATTTCTTTTTCACCTTGATACCAAAACCGCAAATAAAAGGTAACTATTAATAACCAAAGCTCACATTGAGTGAGAGCCTGCTATGTGCCAGGCACCGTGCCAAGGGCTTTAGGGACATTATCTCATTTAATCCACAGAGTGACTCTATGAAACACTAGGAATGTTTTCCTTCCACAGACAAGGACACTGTGTTACAGTGTTTCAAGTAACTTACGAACAGGATCACAGAGTCAGTTTGTGACAGATGCAGCTTTTGAATCCTAGGCACAGGCTCCAGTTTCCATGTTCTTGGGGAATGTGCTAGGAGGGTCCTCAGTGAGCATGTTCAGTGTGTGCCTTAGGGTGAGCTGAGAACTGGCTGGGCGAGGGCAGAAATGGGCAAGAAGAAGAGAAAGGATGCCTTTGGGAAGTGTGGGAATTTGAAGACAGGGAGGTGGTATAGTTCTTGGAACAGGTATCAACCAGGAAGAAATGAAGGCAGCACTTCCATTTGAAGAGATGAAATAGATTCGTCCAGAGAGGTTAGACCCCAGCTCTCCTTTTTCCTGTCTACAATATCCTTGAAACTCAAAAACACAATTTGAGGAACGGAGTAGGTGGAATGTGGTAAACACGGTTTCATTTCCTTTTAGCCTCCTGGTCTGCTCTTTCAGATGTGTTCTAAATAGCAAATGTGGAAGCCTAGGCATGGGAATTTTCTTTCCTGACCTGTACAGAGGCATTGGATTTGGGGATTAAATGGTTGCTATGGGACCATGCAAAACTGAGATTAGAAATAATCCAAGGTCTCCCAGCAGGAGCCAAAAACTGGAGGCCACGACAAGGGCAAACCATTTTCCACAGGGGCATAACTACCAAAGACAACTGTAGGTGCTTGGTGTCTTGAGTTAGGTGTTGAACCAAATCCGGATAAGGCTATTTTCCATCAGACTGGAGCCCAGGCATGCAGCATCTAGGCCCAAGTATGCCTGTAGAAGCTGATTCCTTCATTTCTCCTCATGATCCATGTTTATTCCTTGTAAATGTCTTGAGCCATGCAGAGACTGTAAGATACAAGAGACAATTGTATGTTCGTGTGGGTCATGTGATGACTAGAGTAGGGCTGGGGCCATTAAAGTTGGGTCTCACAGTCTTGGCCAATGTTATTTTCCTGGTCAGGCTACTCTTTCCTTGTGCAATTCTCTCTGGTTTTAGGGAGATTCCTCATGTGTGAGCAAATAAAACAAGGCCAAAGATCCCCTTCTCCTGACCTCTGGAGTTCTGGTTTGGGTTGTTCCTTCCTGCCTGGTATTCAATCCCACAAATCCTAGGTGCTGAGTTCCTCTGAAGACTGATCCTGACTTCTTTTTAAATAATTAATTTATTCACTTTACATTCTAATACCAGCACCTGTTCCTCCCAATTTTCCTCTCTTGAAGTTCCCGGCCCCCATTTCCCCCTTCCCTTCTCCTCTGAGAAGGAGGAGCCCCGCCCCTTCTGGGTATATTTGTCTTCCCCACAGCATATCCAGTCTTTACAGGCAGACAACAAATTCAGGGACAGCCCCTGCTCCGGTTGTTGGAGGACCCACATGAAGACTGAGCTGTTCTGCTACATATGTGTGTGTGTGTGTGTGTGTGTGTGTGTGTGTGTGCGTGCGTGTGCGCGCGCGCGCGCGCATGCGTGCGCGTTGGGAGTGAAGGGCCCCAACTATGTCCAGTCTATGCTTGCTCTTTGGTTGGTGGTTAATTCAGTAAGAGCTCTGCGCTCTTGGATCTTGCTTCTCTGAGCTCTGATCTAGAAACTTCCCCCAGACAGGAAGCTGGTACCATCACAGTCCTTGTGGTTTTGCTTCCCTTCTCCGGGTCACACATTTGTCTTTTCCCAATCACTTGAGGGCCAGTGGCAAGTTTAACTCCTGCTTCTCACTCAGACACTGAATTTTCTGGTTCAGGTTCATGCTTCATTCCTAGAGTCAGAAAGCTGGTCACAGATTTTCACTGGTAAATTTTATCTGGCTTGTTCTGGTCTGAAATACTTTAATTTTGGTATTTAAATTTTTGATTGACATGCTTTGCTTTTACTTCATCTTCCTCCTCCTCCTCTCCTCTTCCTCCTCTCCCTCCTTCTCTCCCTCCTCCTTCTCTCCCTCCTCCTCTCCCTCCTTCCCTTTTGTTTTTAGTATGGCTTGCATATTTATTTACTCATCCAGTTCAATTCTTCTGTCTCTCTCATTTTCCTAGTCTTGATTTTTATATTCCCCCCATTTTTAGAAGGCAGTTTGGGTCTAATAGAAAAACCTGACAATTAGAACCATTGCAAGAAAATTAAATTAACAGACAACTAGCTTGATATTAAAGAGAATTAGAGTGTGTTACTGTCCACAGCTCAGAAATGTAAGCTTGCTTTATAACAGTACCAAGATCCTGTCTTGCCATGAGATTTGGCAGTTTTACAGATCAGTGTCACTTTCGTTTTGAAGGAGGGACTGAAGGTAAAGAGAAACTGTCTCTCAGCAAAGCATAGTTTTGACTCAGAAAGTGGATGCAAAATAGAAACCTATTAGAAACCAAAGCTCAGTTGCAAACCAGAGGACAAATGGCTACTGACCTCAACTCCATCCATCCTATCTGGGACTTGCTCCCTTTCTCCATCTGGTCCATCTCTATATACCTGGGTTCCCAGAGAAAGAAGGAAGTTTTTCAAGGAGGAACTTTGTGGCCACAGCCACTCTGGGATGAAGGTAGGGTAGTCATGGCAACGACAACCAACAGACATTTGAAGATATAAAACGTCTACATGGAGTATCACAGTGTTCCTAGGCTTTGAGATGCCAGCCATACCACAAAACAATGTTAGCAGATGCTTCCAAAATGGCATGGATCAGAAACCTAAGATTTTACTTAGTGCCCAGATAATGGTGTGGCTTTTAAAGTTAACTCTTTGAGTCTCTTTCCTCCTCTGTAAAATGGAAATTCCCATCTAACATTTTCCATTAAATAACACAACACCATTCCTTGCACATAAAAAAAAAACACCCAATACATAATTACTTTAGTTTTAAAAAATCTGTACAAAGGGATTTCAAAGCAAAATACTAAGAGCCACATGACTGTTTCAAATGGACTGCCGCAGGGTAATTGCAATAGTGGTATGCATTTGAATTAGACAGGAAGGTCGGGTTAAATTACAAAAGATAAGTATTCTTCATCGTATATCAAAGGCAGGATTTAGAATTGGAATATCGGCAGGTAGAAATTTCAGAGGCCCTGTTATTTAACTTTTTACTGTTTATAATAGAGGGAAAAAAACACTCAAGTTTACATTTGGATGAAATGAAGAACTGATCGCTCCAAGGTTAGGTTGAGGAGGTTTTTTTATTGTAGATATGAGGAAGATTACAGCCATAGGCATCTGGAAGAGTGCACAGCAGGGAGAGAAAGCAGCAGATTAAACAGGATCAGGAAATTGAACCAGACCATGAGAGGCTAGAGAGAGAGAGAGAATGGAATGGAGAGAAGAGAGAGAGAACTAAGAAGATGGAGAGAGAGAAGCAAGAGAACACATGGGTAAAATGATAGGCTTAGATAGGACCAGATGCTGGAGAAGGGAAGCCCATGGGACGTTTAGGGTAGAGAGCAGTGTGAGAAGAACTGAGAGGAGCCACAGGTACTGAGTGTGCCCTGAGGCCAGCATGCACTTTGGTATCTTAATAGGCACATCAGTTAGCCATTTTTTCTGAGTTTCACTTGAACCTGTCAATATTTATCTGAGATAAACTGGATATATCTGAGATGTTTGTCACTGCTGTTCTGTAAAGAATACCATCCTAGGGACAGACTCACACTGTTTTCGTATCCTGGAATCAAATATGTTTGATCCGAGCAGCCTTAAAGAATGAACAGTGGTGATGTTCATGGTTCCCTGACTCTTCTAAAGCTAACCTGCAGTCTAATGATAATTCTGGATCATTGAGTGGTTTTATTTTTTTAAAATCTTTTTAGATGGAAACATCTGTCATATGGCCAAGAGACACTGCATTATGATCTTTTTGTGTGTTGCTTTGCATGCAGTTATAACACAAGTTATTTATAATAGAATGTGTTAACAGCCAAGCTTAGACACACAGCAAGTCTGAGAACCCTCAGCTTCTGGTCCCCCTCACCTACTCCTAAGCTTTGATTGACATCATT